GACTTGGAATTTGTACATGAGGGAATTGTGATGTGTTCCACAGACAAACCCTGGCCATATCTTTGCTTCTGTATCTGAGTCTTCCACTACCTTATACAGTTAATTTAATTTCCATGAGTCCCTTTTTAATGATATCCATTTATGTGGGCATTATTTTTAATATACAGCCACTAAATATCTTATTTATATGCATTCAATTATTTAAATATCTTGTTTAATATAATTATGAAGTGCAGAACTCAGTTTGTTGGGAAGAGGAAAGAACTGGAGAAGACTGGCTAAAGGTAAAATAACATTTTCTTTGAGTCAAGCTCAACTCCTAGTAACAACCATGTAGTTTTCTTAGCAACAACAAGCTCCTTTTGCCTCATTTCAGTATTTTGATTTTTACTTCCCAATCCAGGATTTTTCTAGTAGCTTCCAATTCAGTAATTAAAAATTATTGATTAATTAGGTGCTGCTAAAAAGCTGAATGGCAAGCTATTTCAGCAAATTAATTTTAATCATATCCCTAAGAAAGATAAGGGTGGGTGGCAGTATAGATCCTTTCCTTTCCCATTCACATTTGAGGAGAAAATGGAATATATATTTTGTCCTGCAAGAAAAAGAAAATTGCAGTTGTAGATCCATGTACTACACAATTGTTGAAGGTACCAGAGTCCTCTTTCATCTGAGTTTGGCCACTCTATTCTTTCCTCCATACATATGCCCTTGGCTTAGGTCATCTTCTGAGAGCTTAATATTAATATGTAGATTAGCTTTCCATTATTGCTGTTGTAATTTTCAAACACCCTACTAAATATTTACCTTGTTAAAAAGTAGTCTCTTAATATTACATATTTTTAGTGGGGAAATGTAAGATAAGGAGGGGCAAAGGTGTAGAAATGATGTAAATATTGTAGATTAATATAGAATTACTGTTATGAGTCTTTAAAAGCCGAATAAGACTCTGACCTCAAGGGCTGTTTCCTTGTAAGCTATATTTGCCACCAATCTTCAAAAGATAACATTATACATGTCTTCTCTTCCTCTTGTTTGTTTTTAACTTTTTGTAATAAACATCTTCAATGTATATTGCACTTTTTCTTTAAGAAAGAGGAGGGAGGGAGGGAGGGGAGAGAAAAAAAAGAGAGAGAGAGAGAGAGAGATCTGGGTTATGCCTTATTTTATGCTCAGAAAACAATCACAGGGCTGGTTGTGACTGATACAAATTCCCTAAGGAGCTCTCTAATCATGTATGAAATTGAACTAAGATCTCCATGGTCACAGCACTCCATGTGGAAGTGTCTCTCATACATGTGGAAGATTGGGTAAGGGTATTATTTTATTTTAATAATAAAATAAAAAAATAAAAATGTGGAAGATTGGGTAAGGTGGTGTAACTCTTTGTCAAACTACAATTCGTTCTCGATCTTTGCTGGTTAAACATAGTCAGCTAACCTGCCATTAAATCCTGACAGGCACTCAGGCAAATCATTTTGGAAAATAGGGATGGGAGAAGATTTGTCTCTGGAGTCCTTGGTTATATTTCCATGTACTGCTAAAACTTAATCAAATTACAGCTGTTGGTCCTTTGAAAAATGAGAATTTTCATGGCCATTCTTTAATTGCCCAATTTCCCTCTTCTACCTTTCTTGGCCTCCCCTCATTCCTGAAAGCTGTGTATTGTTTCCAGGGTCTGTGATCTTGGCTCAGCTTTTAGGAAATGTCCCTTTTTTCTGTCCCCCCTTCACCCAACTATTTTCAGTGGGATTGGTGTAGTTTCAGACTAGCCTGTTTGCTTTTCTCAGATTAATTTATCCAGTGAAAACCAGTTTACATTGTTTCCAGGGAAAAGTTCACTGTTAGGTCACAATTTCAAACAAGTTGGGGATATCAATAGCATTGAGAAGAAGATTGAGCCCATGTTAAAATGTAACTTGGGGACAAAAGAGATCATTTGTGTAAATTCTTATGAGCAGGAGCTACATTTCAAGTATATTGGAGCTGGTTATTTCTAAAGTTGGTTAATCTGTCAGCAATATTCTGTGCCGCGTAAAGCTGACTTCTGCAACTTAGAAGAATCTGCACACTTTGCATAATGTATAAATTGAATGATCACATATAATTGATTCTACTTTTGTCAGGACTATCTTGTACCTTCAAGATATACTGAACCACAGCTTTCATTATCATGAATCAGCAAGGCTAGAACCCATGCAGACTGGGAATTATGCATAACATTTTGAGTTCCTCTGATTGGGGAACAGTATAGTTTATATTGTGATAGTATTATATAATTATAAACAATATAATTGATGCATGTGAAGAAGGAGAGTGCAAAAGTTGGCTTGAAACTCAACATTAAAAAAATTAAGATCATGGCATCCGGCCCTCTCAATTCCTGGCAAATAGATGGGGAAGAAATGGATATAGTGACAGATTTTATTTTCCTGGGCTCCAAGATCACCACAGATGGGGACTGCAGCCAAGAAATTTCAAGACATTTGTTCCTGGGGAGGAAAGTGATGGCAAATCTAGACAACATACTAAAAAAGGCAGAGATATCAAAAGTGACAACAAAAGTGCGTATAGTCAAGGCTATAGTTTCCCCAGTTGTATGGCTGTGAAACTTGGACCATAAGAAAGGCTGAGTGCCAAAGAATTGAGGCCTTGAAGTATGGTGCTGGAGAAGACTCCTGCGAGTCCTTTGGACTACAAGGCGATCAAACCGGTTCATTGACTCCTCAGTCCTAGAGGAGATTAATTATAAATGCTCTTTAGAAGGCCAGATCCTGAAGATGAAACTCAAATACTCTGGCCACCTAATGAGAAGAAAGGACTCACTGAAGAAGAGCCGAATGCTGGGAAAGATTGGGAGCAATAGAAGAACAGGACGACAGAGAATGAGGTGGCTGAATGGAATCAATGAAACAGTAGGCATGAGCTTAAATGGATTCCAGGGGATGGTAGAGGACTGGAAGGCCTGGAGGAACGTTGTTCATGAGGTTGCAATGGGTCAGACCCGACTTTGCAACTAACAACAACAACAAATATTTTAGTTTAATCATACTTTAAGTAATAGAGAATTCTAGGCAGGAATAACAAGGGAGGAATTTACAGCGCCTTAACTTTAAGAGTCATTCATTAAGCATTATGATAATGGCATCACTTAGAAATGCTTATTTCAGGAAAACAAGAAGAAAGAGACACTAAACAGTGCAAAGACCTGGAAGAACAAAGGAGACAGCCAGTGGTGGTATTCGACCGGTTCTGCCCGGTTCTGGAGATCTGGTAGTGGCGATGAGCAGTGGAGACCGAACCTGTTCTCTTCGCTGCTCTGTGGTTGGCCCACCCACCCGCCCGGGCTCCCATACTCACTTTTATGGCCAGAATTCAAAGCGCAGCTGCTTTGCACGGTGCAGAATAGTGCCACGCGGCAGCTGCTGCAGCAACCACCATCGTGCAGGCTTGCAGGAGACAAGTTAGAACGCCTCTGCACCTGCGCAAAGTGCGTGTTTGGCACACACATGCACGCAAAGTGTGTGCATGCGCGCAAAGTGCGGCCACCAAGCCACACCCACCAAACTGGTGGCAACTTTATTTGAATATCACCACTAGAGACAGCACAAATATAAATATATGTATTGGGCAATATGAAAATATTTAGAACAGAGACCAACCCATTTAGTCAGGCACTTTGAATAGACCTACAATTGTGCTGCATTTCTAAGGTGTCCCAATTGCTTTCAAAGTTCTGTACAGTTTTGATGCTGATTTTCCTACCTCCAGTTTCAAGTCTGAAAGGAAGGCCTAGTTTGTCATATTTTCCCTGGGAGCAGAGTGGTAGAGTTCTCCAACTCACAGGTGCAGTTGAAAGATCCTGAGCTTGATTATCTTAAGACAGTTGAAAGGAGAAGCAGCAATCATTAAACTCATTATACATTGTAGTCATTACACAGTCATTAGTATGATAGATAGAGATACAGAACATCTTTCTTCCTTGGATGAAGAAGAAGAAATCTGCCCTTTTATTTTAGAGGCATTAGGGACTCAGTAGTTTTGCTGGTGAAATGAAGGCTTGAGCTAAGCTCCTGGTCCTGTTAACACCAGTTCAGTCTATGCATTATCATACAAATTCTCTTTATCTACTGTTTTTCTTTTTCACTTGCTAGGACTCACTGTGCTGTACAGTACAATTAGAGATAGCTCTAATGGTATTATTTGTCCTTCTCTCTATTGTTTTGGCTCTAGTTAAGCAGACTTTGGAAATTTTACATAAACCAAATGGTTCAAAAGGAAAGAAAGCTAAGATAAATGTCCTGTTATAACCTTATATTGTAGTGTGACCATGTTTGGTACAGTGAAAAAAATACATTTGGCTTCAATATTTCATATTTGTTTCTGTTAGATGATTGGAATATGCAATAGTGAAGAATAAAATACATATTGTTTGGAATATCAATTTATTCCTTCTTTGTATATGTATTAATAGGATATTACATCTACCGGATGGATCTAGGAGTTCAGATTGCAGTTCTGAACTTAGTTGCTGTGTAGTAAGTCTCACTGAAAAAAATGGGACTTTTTTTAGTGTATCAATATATGATTAAGCCATTTATCTCCTAAATTGTGGAATTGTGTGAAAAAACATGCAGGCATCTCTCGTAAAAATAATGGTAATAATCACGGGTCAATTGTTCAAAGATTCAGTATACTCTTTTGATTAATATTAAGATGAACAGGACAGGACAGGACAGGACAGGATAGGATAGGATAGGATAGATAGGATAGAATAGAATGTCAGCTCTCAAAACGATACATTACTCGGAACCATGACACAGAATAGAAGTCTTTATTAACCAAGTGTGATTGGACACACAAGGAATTTGTCTCTAGTGTATAAGCTCTCAGTGTACATATAAACAAGGTGACACCTATAATGGGACAAGTACATTATAAATGATAAATATGAAGATTTAGATTTTTTTTTTTAATAGTTAAAATTATCTCTTTGACAGAGTCCTCGGTATTCAGTGAAGCACAGTCTTCCTCTGCTGTTAATTTAAGTGGAATTCAAGATTTGACTCGGAATAAGAACATAGTGAGACCACTTGCTCTGCCTGGGCAACTTGTAGGAAACACATTTGCAACAGGTAATATATTTTCACTCAAACATTCATTGCAATCTAGGACTACTTAGACTCTAGTATGTAAAAGTAATATATAAATTATCACAAAATGTAAATTAATTTGCTATAGAATTATCCTTGTGGAACAAAACAGTTGATAAATACCTCATATTTCACATGTCTTCCTGTTGATGTCCTTCAGATATGTTTAACTCTTACTATTCTCAGCTAGATCAATCAATATAATGATATATAACTTTAAAATGATGTTGCGGTCAAATCAAGTCTCTGTGATACTTATTACCAACACTAGGATTACCAGATTTAGGTTGCAACAATCTAGTTAACAATTAAATGACAGCAGATAATTAAAATTTTCTGTATTTCATTTGCTGCCATCTAGTGATTGCCATTTTTTTTTTGCAGCTCAAATTTGATGGCTTCGAACAATACACTGTCCTTTTGGAATGTTATTTTTTACTAAGTTCATGTACTTGTTCCATATATAATTTGTATTTTATCTATACAACGTAACCAATTTAAATAGATTTTTCCCTACCTCTGTTCTTCCTCCTCCCTTTCTTCCCCATTTTATCCTTGCTCTAAAGGTAAGCTGGTAGGGTTAAGAGTTTGTAATTAATCAAAATCAACCTGTGAGCTTCAGTGCAGGACTTGATTGTTCCCACTTTTAGGTCTTAATCATTAGCCCCATCATTTTACTGTTATCTTTAACAGATTACTATTGTGCACTTTCATTTATTTATTAAATAATAAACCCACTAAAATAAAAGTTTGAAACACTGTCATCTGTAAAATGCATGGTTTCTGTATTAGAAATCCAATTGGCAGTTAAAGTTGCCAGAACTATCCCCCAGCATCTCATTATTTAATATATTTTTTTGTAAAGTAAGCCATCAGTTTTAGAAAGATTATGCCCATAAATTTATATTCTACTGGTTTAACTTTTTTAGACTTATTGCCATTGGTTTCTCTAGACTACGTCATTTTGCACCATGCCATTATTTATTAATTTTTATAGTTGCAATATCACAATATAATACATGAGGTTCTAATTCAGGACACTTGATCAATTCTAGCTTGAAACATTTTGAAATAATATTAATTCCCAAGGGTCTACCTGAAGCCAGTTAGGGGAGTTAAGATGATTAAATATCTTTTTACTTGTGCTATTAGTAATTTAATTTTAGTATGTTCTGTCTTTCAAACTAACAAACTTTTTAATTAGAATAAAATAGATTCAATATAGATTTTTAAGAAATAGAAAAATATTCCAGAAACTAAAGTTTGTCAAGACTACTCAGTAACATTGAAAAAAGAAATGTCCGTATTGAAAAAAATACTTAATTTTTATTATGAAAGACTAAAGAAGCAAAATAGTCTTTCAAAATAAGACATGTACGGTAAATTTACTATTCCACAATTTAAAATGCGTTTTTTTTAAATTTCAGTTAGCTTCCATGTGACTAGGATTCAGGCCAACATTCTTTGTTTTACTTTTCATAAATTATAGCTAAATAAAAGGCTCGTCTTTAGTTTTTTTAACAAAGAAGACAAGTGATTCTGAACATATATAAGTATTCTATTTTGTTTTTATTTTTGAAAAAGTGTATAGATTGTAGCCTTTAGAATAGTTTTTTTAAAATGCTGTCCAACTGTTATTTTTAATAAGACAAAAGGTGAAAATGAATTCCTTGGAATAATTGTAGTAATTGTCAACTTTAGCATGCTATCCAAATATCAAATAATGCTCTTGTTTATCGTTGCTTTGCATAATATTTAGAGATATTGTACATAACCTTTGTTGTAGGAAAGTCCAAAAAAGTTGGGTGGCATCATAGCTGCCAAATTGTATTGTTTTACCCACCCTGAATCTCTTGCTTTGTTATCTTCATACAGGGTTCTACTGGTCCACAGTGCAATTGTTTTACAATTGTCTAAAAGTATTTGTAGGGTTTTTGTGTTCAGTTTTCCTTTCTCTCCAAACCACTGATGTTACCAGAAGAAACAACATTGCAGGAAGGACAAATGTCACGAGTTCCACAGTTTCATGACCTGTGTTTCACTCAGTGTCTCCTAGCCCTAATATAGTGCAGAGAAAAGTAAAAATAACTTTTTGACCTTGTTATTGCCTACTTTACTATCATAACTTCAGCAGTTATAAAGTTTCTGAAAATCAGAGTTGTCAATAAAAAATACAGAGGTGTCAAACTCAATTTCATTGAGGGCTGCATCAGGATTGTGTTTGACCTCAGGCGGCCAGGAAGTGTATCCAGGTGGGTGTGGCCAGCTTGATGTCACTCATGTCTGGGGCACTGTGGTGGCTTGGATGGCCCTCCCCCAGGCTCCATTTTTGACTGGGATAACCTCCTGCAGCCCTCTGCCAGCGAAAACAGGTACGATCCCCCTAATCCTGAACTATGTTTTCACTGGCATAAGCAACGCGGGTTGGTCCTTCGTTGTTTCCAGGGCGGCCCTGTGGGCCAGATCTAAGTACCCCGTGGCCAAATCCAGCCCGCGGGCCTTGATTTTGACACCCCTGCTTTATTACATGGGAATAGAGAGTAAAGCATTTTGAAGGTAAATATTATTGTTTATTATTATTATTGTTATTTATGTTTTCTGTGTGTGTTAATTCTTCTTAGCTACCCTGACAAGTTCTGGCCCACCGAAGAAACGACACCGAGGATGGTCTCCTGGATCCCCAGTCCCTCCTCCTGGTGTAATTGTGCCTGTTCCTGCCATCCGGCCTCTTCCGAGAGCAGGCAAGATTCTGATATATGTGTGTGTTCAACCAGTGAGCTGGTGATATGCACCCACCTTAATTAATTAATTAATTAATTAATTAATTAATTAATTAATTAATTTGTTGCCTTTCCTACAGCAGTTCAGATTAGAGAGAAAGAATGTCCATCTCCAGATTAGGCCCTACCAGAGTCTCCCAATAATTTCATGACCAAATGGTGGATATGAATCCAAATCTCCCAACTGATGTCTATATAAGTTGTACTTAATTTAATCTCAGCAGATACATGCGTATTGAAGGAGATAAACTAACTTCATTCCAATATGGATCTGTATATCATGACAGAAACTTTTATTCTTATGGGTCATAAATTAAATTGATAAATGCTTTTTAATGCTGTCTCCAGGTAGTCACATCAGCAGTCTTTCTTCCACATGCCTTTTTCACTCTATACAACAACTTTATCCAATTTTGTGTGGTCAAAATGGGTTGGATGTCATTTGCCTTCATTCTCAGTATAGTGAGTTATAGTCCAGCACATTTGGAGAAAAGATATGTAGAGGTAATAGGAAATGGCCTTGAAGGATAGAAAGAAGAGCTGCTATCAAGGGAACAATTACAGGGCTGGGTATCATCCACATACTGGTGGTACCCCATGCAAAAGATCAAAATGAGCTTCTCAAGAGATCTGATATTGATGTTAAACCACACAGGGTGGGAAAAGCATAGAATAGATCATTGACCTAGTTATTAAACAGACTTCCCCATCTTATGGTAGCATCCTGAGAGGAAGGATCACAGTAAAGCACTGGTAACAAAGCCTGATTTTGCCAGAAGGACACTGCAGGCACTAGTATAAAACTACTAGTAAACTCCAGGAATGGTAGCAGGGTTGTATTTCCCCCACCTTGCCTTGGCCTGGATCATCCATCAAAGTGTTTGCTAGCTGAAATGGGATTTCTTTGAAATAAAATGTTAATGGATAACAGTATTCCATATTAGAGATTTTTTTTAAATGCAGATTTTTCTCCTGGTGAATTGCAAACTATGTATTAAAGCAAAAAAGATGCCTGTGGCTTTAAAAAGATGTGTTTTTTCCTCTGTGCTTAATTATTGCAAATCATTAATTCAGCTTTGCAATGACAGGATTTATACCTAGTGCTTGAAGTAACAACTTTATCTTTTAAAATCCTCTATGGCTCCTTTGTGTCTAAACTCTAAAGTTTTGATTTGATAGATTGTGATTAGGATATGATGAAACAACATTCAATTAGTCTGTGAGAATGTTTCACTATTAATTTGCATGTGATCATTTATAAGTTAGTATTGAATCTGATTCTTTGTATAGGTAACATGTCAATGGAATTTTTGTAAGCAGCTCTGTTGGCTTTGAGGAAATTGTGCATGAATCCTTTCCTCTCTAATTCACCTCCATCAACTATAAAACCTAGATATTTTTTTTAAAGGTAACGTCTTTTGGAAGGGTGAGCTAGGGAAAGAGAGGGTGCCTTCATGGTTTGAAATAATTCACTGCAATTTCAAAAAGAAATGCAGTGTAGTTTAAATTTTATTGTGTTTAATGATTTCTAGAACAAGAATGGGTTGTTTTTTACTGTTAACTTGTTCATAAGGCCAAATCACAGCATGAGCCCTTTTATAATAGATCCATCCCCTTTCTGTATTTTTATAGAGCCTCTTTTATCTGTCCCAGTTCCGCAATCAATGTTAACTGGAATTTTACAGCCTCAACCCATCCCTGCAGGGGAGACTGTAATAGTTCCTGAAAATCTGCTGATTAACTCTGGAATCAGACCAGTGATTCTAATAGGTAAGCTCTCTGTCTCTCTCATCTACATGTTTTTTTGGTTACTGTTGTTTATATTTGGATTAAAATTCTGAAACCTAAATATTGTATCCATTCTATGAAAGCTTAAATATCTTGGTAGAACTACATTTCCTTGGAGAAAAAAAATCGCTTTATGGTCCCGAAGGAATGAAAATTAACTGTGTAATGTACCTGTACTTATATTACATATATTCCACACTACATTTAAGTGTGGCTTGTCATTGGTGCTCTGCTTCCAGTTCCATCCTCTCCCTTCCAAGAAATAGTAATCTCAAATCAATTTCACACCTATTGAAGTAGAGTATACATTTTAGAGCTAGATTTTAACATTTGTATGTAAAAGAATAAAATAACAGAATGCTATTTCAGTTTCTGAACTTGAAATATTGGCCCATGTCAAGTTACTGACACAGAAGGGGTCACTATACCTAGAAAAAAAAGTATCACATTTAAAATATATACTGTATATTGTTCATATATAAAATCTGCAACTATGTCAGAAAAAATCTACAGACAGTATGAAATCTTGTATTGACTATTACTTAAATAATAGTCAAACATAGCATTTAAACAATTCCCTCTATTACCTTTTAAATTTGGATTTGTGGTAATGAACTAAAATTGAGATTTAGGAGGGATGTTAGTACTACTGTTAGTAGAGAAAGATATCTATATGTTACAACTATTCATCTTCATTTTTGTTAGACCTTAAAATGCATAGATGTCTTTGTCATCTATGTTTATACAAGTAGTCCTTTCTTAATAATTACTTGTTCAACAACAGTTTGAAGTTATGAAGGCATTCAACAAGAAGATTTACTACCAATCCTCATAGTTGTTTAATCATTGCAATCACATGATTAAAATTTGAGCACTGGTAACCAGCCCACAGTTATGACAGTCAGTGTGATACCATTGCTGGCTTTCAACAAGCAAAGAAGGTTGCAAATGGTAATCATGTGACATATTGTTTAACAATGACAACTGGAACTGCAACAATTTCCATCAAAGTTGCTATGGTCACATGATATTGCACTTTATGATTATGTTGCTTAGCAATGGAGTTGCTCTGAATTACCATTGTTAAGTAATGGTCTGTAATGGTCTTAACATCCCACCTAAACAAGTTTTTTTCTCATATTTTTGTGGGAAAGTGTATTTTGATCCTTGCTTAGCAATAATTTTTATGTTATAACATTTTAAAAATTGGAGCACAATTCTGCAGTAATTTGAACTTGTCTTTTTGTTTTTTAAAGGTTATGGCACTTTACCTTATTTTTATGGGAATGTTGGAGATATTGTAGTAAGTCCATTACTCGTGAATTCCTACAAGATTCCTCAGCTGGAAAACAAAGATTTGGATCTTTTTGGTTTAACTGGGAATCAGTTACTAAGTGTGGAGAACATGATTATTTTAACAATACAGTATCTTGTGTGGCTAGGTAAGACATTAAAAAGTATATTGCTTTTTTTGATACATAAATACTATCTCCTACAAATCAGCAGATAATAAACTTTAATTTTGGTAATAAGAGATTAATCTTCTGCGTTCAATTTTTGTGAGACTACATGTCACAAAAATTATGACAGAAGTTACTCTGCCCTCATTCTAGGAATATTATCACCTGTTTCATTTTTTCCATTTTCAAAATTCTGATTTACTTTGGGGCAACTTTAAATTATAACAATCTGCTTTCATTGAGAAACACTTCTCTGCATGAACTGTTAATGGATAAATTCTACCCTGTAAATGTAAGCAAGTAGGGCTAGGGCAGTCTCTCACAAGGTATATTTGCTTAAAATTCCCATTAGTAAAATAGAAAGGACTTAATCAAATAAATATGTTTCAGGACAATTTCTATCTTTTTCAAATTTTGCAACTTCATTATAGTAAGAACCCAATATGGATTGCTTGCTAGTTACAAATTAGTCTGACTCATCATTGGAATGGCACCAGTGTTCCTTGATGAGTAGATTCCCTCCCAAATATGGCTAATCTGTATTTGTAAAAGCATTAATGGTTGATGTTAGATACTTGAAATGCCCTTGAACTGTATTGTGAAATCTGCAGCAGACAGCAATGCACATGACCGCATGCACACAAATTATCTTCTTTTTAAGCACATTTTACGCAGAAACATACGTGGGTGCTTTTTTAGCCAAGAATTTTCATAAATATTTTACAAGAGTTTCTCTCCTGGGAAAATGGAATAATAATAATTTATGAAGTTCTTGTTTTGAAGAGAAATACAGTATTTCAAATAATTGTGATCTGAATAGTTAAAGTGTACAATTAAAAATTAGAAAATAAAAAACCACTTCTCAACAACTGTCATTATTTATAGCAAATACAATATTATTTTATGCTTTGTATATCTATCTTCTTTCTTGTAAAATTGCACAAATCAACCACCATCCAGTTTTCAGAAAGTATTCTTTATCTATTTTCTCAGTATTTTACTGGGTACCCCAGGAGTTTTTTTTTCAGGAATCCTGTATTTGGGAAAGGGTGTAAAATCAAAGAAACACTGTTGAAAATTGGGATGGATTGGAAAATATATAAGACTTGGTTCTAACCCTAACTGAAAAACTCAGTAGATGTAGAAAATATTGAAATCTAACAGTATGTTAATCACACTGGTGGGAAGACAATTTTCCCTTGAGCTTTATACAGTACTGTATCATCTGCATTTATCTACCGTATTTGCCGGCGTATAAGACGACTGGGCGTATAAGACGAGCCCCCAACATTTCCACTCAAAATATAGTTTTTGTTATATACTCGCAGTATAAGACGACCCCCCCCACTTGGAGGCATGCTTTTCAAGGCAAAAAAGTCGTCTCATACGCCGGCAAATACGGTAAGTTGTAACACTTGGGGTATTCTGGATATAATTCTTGATTGACACCCCCAACCCCTTTCCCCCAAACTTACAAAGCCACCAAAATGCTTTAGAGAGGCAGCTTCGCCTTTCTCAGGCTGGCACTCAATTCCTCTCCCTTTCTTTGTGACAGCCCCCGCGTGCGTGCCATCAGGACTCCAAGGGTGGGGGATGGACAGCTGCCAACTCTCTCTCTCTCTCTCTCTCTCTGTGTGTGTGTGTGTGTGTGGTGTGGAGGGTAATTCCGGCTATATCTGGGCTCCGCTCGGTTTTAAAGTCGCTTGGCCGGTTCCCAAGTCGCAAGCGCGCGCTGGCCGGGAGACGCGGCGCCGGGTGGAAGCTCGGTGCAGGGGAGGCAGATCTTTCTCTCTTAAGCGGGGAGGGGAGGAGGGGACAAGAGGAGGGACGGGACGGGACAGGGGGCGGGAGGAGGGCGCTCGCCTTCTTCCACCGCCCACCGGACCCTTTTCTTCCCAAGGGGACCCTGGAAAGCAGCTCGGGAGCCGGGTGGCCCTGCCCAGCGGGGTCCCATCAGGAACTTCCTGAGGACACCCCCCCCGCCCCAAGCACAGCCCTCCCGGTCTTTCAAAGAGGGAGGGAGAAGCGGGAGGAGCAAATTGCCGCCCCCGCCCCGCTGCCCAGAAGGAGGGGCGCCACAGTCCACCCCCACCACCTTCTCCCCCCCCCACTCCCCGGGCCATTACGCGGCTCGGGGCTGGCTGGGCGAAGCGGCCCCGCCAGAGACCCTCCCGCTCCACCCCCACCCCACCTCCAGATTGGCCTCCGCAAGCGCCCCGAGCCGGGCGGAGGGTGGGTGGGTGGGTGGGAGGAGGAGGAAGAGAGACTTCGGCTGGGCTTGAAGGGGCTTCGCAAGTTGCGGAGCTCCGCCCCCATCGCTCTTGCACCGAGTGACAATGTATTTACCGGCGTATAAGACGACCCCCCCACTTGGAGGCATGTTTTTTAGGGCAAAAAAGTCATCTTATACGCCGGCAAATACGGTACATGTATGTTATTTTTAAAAGAATAAACACCCACAAATAAAAAGCTAAATATTTGATAGAATATTGTATATTCTGGGTGCTTTTCTAGAGAAAAGTATGGAAAGTTCCAGTAACAGGACTTTATATTCTTGGTAACTGACAAGGGTCACTCCCTCTTTTCCTTTTTGTCCTAAAATAACTGAATGTTTTCTCAGATCTAGGCTAAACATCACAGGAAACAACTCAGGAGAATGTTTTCAGTGTCATGTAACAAATGTGGAAAATGAAGATTAAAGAGTTGGATTAAATGTTTTTAAGGCTTTATTTTTTAGTAAAACCAATGTAAAAAATACTCATGTCTCCGCATATTGCTTCATTTTTTACAAAGTGCATACTAATGGTTTTTTTAAATAAAAGTTTTATTTAATGCATACTAATGATATTATTTCTTGTGAAAATCAGGTTGCATATTTACAAGTACAGTAATTACCTGCTCAAAACCACAAACACTGAATTTTGCTACATATCTGATTTTGTAATATAAACTTTCTCTTTCATATTAGATGGTACATGTTACGAAATCAGATATGTAACAAAATTCAGTGTTTGTGGTTTTGAGCAGGTAATTACTATACTTGTAAATATGCCTTCCGGGTTTCACAGGAAACAAAATCAAAACAAAATTTTTGTAATATTTCTGGGCAGTTAAAGATGCTGAGCTTGTCAGATGGAAAGCTAACAGCCTGGGTTCAAGACCAGACCAGCCCAGTGGGGTGAGCTTCCATTCCTGCCCCAGCTTCTGCCCACCTAGCAGTTTGAAAGCATACAAATGTGAATAGATTAATAAGTACCACTTCAGTGGGAAGCTAACAGCATTCTGTTTACCTTTGGCATATAACCATGCTGGCCACATGACCACAGAAACTATCTTCAGACAATGCTGGTTCCCTTGGCCAAGAAACAGAGATGAGCACCGCTCAGAAATATCATTCCATTTCTGAGGATTATATTTTGATTCCAATATCCATGCTATGGTATTGATCTGACTGAGCACAGATCAAAATCCGACAGCACAAGATAACAAATAAGTATGAACATAAACAGGAACAAAGGAAGTAAATACAGATAAATGGGGACAGTAAGACAGGGATGGTAGGCACCCTAGTGCGCTTATGTCCACCCCCTTTAAGGACCTCTTAAGAATGGGGTGAAGTCCACAGTTGACAGCTTGAGGTTGAAGCTGTGAGGGGTTGAGGCTGTAACAACGGAGTCTGGTAGGGCATTCCATGCGTTGACCACTCTGTTGCTGACGTTATATTTTCTGCACTTTTCTGCAATTGAGTTTGTATTGGTTGTTTGCCTGTGTATTATTAGGATTGAAGCTGAAGAAGTCATTGATAGGCAAGATTTTGTGAACTATGCTTAGATTGCACTGCAGGCAGCGCAGTTCCAGACTGTGCAGGCCCAAAATTTCGAGCCTGGAGGCATAGGGAATTCTATTGTGAGTGGAGGAGTGGAGTACTTTTCTCAAGAAATACCTCTGAACCCCTCAATTGTGTTCATGTCTGATATACAGTGTGGGTTCCAGGAGGACGAGCTGTATTTGAGAATTGGTCTGGCAAAGGTTTTGTATGCCCTAGTTAACAATTCAATGTTGCGGGAGAAGAAGCTTTGCAAAATAAAGTTAACAATTCTTAAAGCCTTTTCAGCAATGCTGTTTCAGTGAGCTCTGGGGCTTAGATCATTTGAGATAAGTACTCCTAGGTCCTTGACACAGTGAGGGTTGTCTACAAGATTGTTTCCGCCTAACTTTTATTTGGTGTTCTGATTTTTTTTTTGCCAACGTGTAGGACAGAGCATTTGCTAGTTGAAATTTGGAGTTGCCAAATGCTTGACCATTCTGACACATAGTCAAGGTCACTTTGCAGGGCAGCAGCATTGTCGGTGGTGTTAAATAATTTTACATCATCAGCGAAGAGAACACAGCTGCTTTTAATGTTGTCACATAGGTCATTGATGTAAAGCAGAAAGAGTGTGGGCCTAAAATGCTGCCTTGGGGGACACCGCTATTAACTGGTGCTTGATTTGATAGGGCCTTCCCTATTTTGACCATTTGTTGCCTGTTTGACAAGAATGTGGCTATCCACTTGTGCAGAGGTCCAGAGATGCCATAAGAACTAAGTTTCAGCAGTAGTTTGTCGTGCACCACTGAATCAAAGGCTTTGCAGAAGTCTATGTAAATTGCGTCTATTGCTTTACCCTGGTCCAAATGTTTCTGCAGTGCAGGATTCATAGATTACAGGAAAAAAAAAATCCTGAAACCAAACTGCTTGTTAGAAAGTAGATTGGTTGTTTCTAAGTGTAGGGCGATGGATTGGTTTATAATTGATTCCATGACTTTACAGGTGATGCAACACAATGAGATTAGTCTGTAATTTTCTACTAGTCTAGGGTCTCCCTTTTTAAAAAATAGTTTTATTTTTAATTTAAAAAGTTATCCTTACTCCTTTGATTTTCTGTGCCAATCAATATTCAGTGCCTATTTTATGTGCTTTTGACAATGGAAACATTTCTTTGGCAAACTGTCAGCTATTTCTTGCATGAGCCATCATCTCCTGATGCAAGTAGCTAGGTGGGGCAAAGTGAAAAAACTAACTTCAGAACACCTCTGATCAAAATAAGAACCACACTCATTTTAACAAGTTTCTGTAATAATGCAACATGTCCAAACACTACAGCAGTGCTTGGTATCTGCTAACATTGGTGGGATAAAACTAAGTGTGTGCTCAGGTTTCTTTAAATATTAGAACCAACAGTGAGAAAATTGAGGAGGGTATCGCTAACCACCAGAAAAGATGATACATTGGTCTCTTTTCAACCACCTTTTCTAATAACTTTTGTATTCATTTTTTAAATAAATATCTGGCTAACTGTCATGACTAGTAATAAAAAGATGTCAAAGAAAGGTCACTCCAAAAAAGAGGAATTAAGGCTTACATAGTTGATCCCGAAGTGGCTGAAGTGACACTTCACTATAGTAAGAAAAAAGACATGGTGGGGGAGGATGGTTTTATAAATATAAGGAAAATTGAGCACATTCAGGATGAAGCTTTCAAATTGTTTCATTGGGAAATCTATTTTAAGAACTCAACTAAAAACTAAAGATGTAAGGGGTTAGGTTAGTTTATGCAATCTGACAAAACCTGGTAGTTATGTTTGAACAAGTTAATGAACAGCTTAAAGAATTGTCTTCTCAAGTTGTGGAGATTGCCCAAATTGCTGGCAAAGCATATGAAGTTTGTACCAAAAATAAATATTGATATTGGAAAAATTACAGACATTATTTGGATTTTCTCTTACTCAGGATCAGAATAGAAGAAATAATTTGAGTCTCAGAGAAAATGTAGAAAAACTGTTATATTTCATTGCAAGCTTAATGGGAAGCTATCAGACATAACATTTTCTGATAAACATGTGGAAAGGCTATAATACTAAGATTTTTAAATGCTCTGGTGAGAGACAGAACTTAGCAAAACATTTGTGGGCTGGAAGACATAAATTGGAACAGAGATAAAACATTATGTTTTCAAGATATTAGTTCAACCATGTTACAAAGAAGAGAAGTTGTCAGCCTTTGATGGAAGAATGATCAAAAAGCAAAATATGGTATTAGCCTTGAAAGCCAGCTGGGAGACCTTGGACCTGTCATTCTCTCTTAGCTCAACTCACTCATAGGATTGTTGTTGTGAGGAAAACAGGAAGAGAAAGTGTGTTGGATATGTTCACCGCTTTCAGTTATTTGTAAAAATAATAATAGCAGGATACAAATAACGTAAAATGGGAGTTTTGTTTCTAGTTAATGTCATTTTGTCCATAAAGAAGATTCCTATGTTTCAAGAATAGAGACATAATTGTTGTAAGATGTTTAATATTTTTCATATTAGTTGGGAAATAAGATCAAATATAGAAATTGGAGAATTGTAAACAAGTTATTATAAGAATAAGAGGATCTGGAAATGGGGAAACTACATCTCAACTGGATTGTCTACAGTATTTAATTTTAATTAATTTAATTTAATTTCTCTGTCACTTAACTCCAGAACAACACTGGTAGCTTTATAATGTTAGTAAACAATAATAGTGTATAAAAGAACAGGTGTCTGAGGCAAGAATAAACCATTCTTTCACATTCTGCACAGTTTAAAGGAGTCCACCTAACTATTCTAAGGGAAGGCCTGGGGGAAAAAGTCAGATTTTTAAATTAGAGGGTTTAATTAGTACTTTTGTGAACTGCTTTCATATATGGGCTAAATGGGTTGGGAAGTAGTTAGTGAGGAGGGGAGGTGAACAGAGGGAGAAAATGAGAGAGAGTGGGGAAAGGCAAAAAAAGATTTCTCAGATTTAATGCAAATAAATTGACTTGGAATAAAGTTTCATTGGGGACGTGGTAGCTCAATGGCTAAGACGCTAAACTTGTCAATCAGAAAGGTCGGCTATGCGGTGGTTTGAATCCCTAGCACCGCGTAACCGAGTGAGCTCCCATTACTTGTTCCAGCTTCTGCCAACCTAGCAGTTTGAAAGCATGTAAAAATGCAAGTAGAAAAATAGGGACCACTTTGGTTGGAAGGTAACAGCGTTCCGTGAGCCTTCGGTGTTCAGTCATGCCAACCACATGACCACAGAGATGTCTTTGGACAGTGTTGGCTCTTCGGCTTTGTAATGGAGATGAGCACCACCCCCTAGAGCCAGAAACAACTTGCATGTATATGCGAGGGGACCTTTACCAAAGTTTCATTGTTAATGAGTTTACTTTGTAAAAAAGGTAGAAACAGAGTAAGTGTAACTGGTCAGCAGGTGAATAGCATAGGATAGTTTTTCTAAATGCTAGGAAATCAAATGGAAAGAATTAGAACTGGTAAGTATTTAAATTTCTCTATCTGTACTTTTTTATAAATAACATATATATTGGGAAGAAAAGACAAATATTTTGGAATAAAAATTTCTGTAATAAGCCGAAGCAATTGCATCTTATTTAAAGCTAATGTTGATTTCACAGTAGAAGAGATTCAAAAAGAGATATTTTAAATTAAGTTTGATAACAAAACCATAACATTGGTTTCTATACATGTACTTAGAATCAAATTGGATTGATACAAAAAGTATTGTCATGAATATATTTATTTGAATAATTTATTTTGGGGGCAAATATTGATTTGCGGGAAATGGCACAAGCTTAGGATATTTAGGAATTAAGAATTTATGGCTTAAATATAATAGAACAGGATCAATTAATCTATATAAGCAACTGATAATATTAAAAATGGAAAACCTCTGGTCCTAGATGGGTTAAAAGGTGAATGTTATAAGTAGTTGGAGATTTTCTTGACACTGAGCAAACTGAAGTATCAGGGAAATTTTCTGTTCTCTTGCATTTCTAAATAACTCCTAAATCAGATTAAATCCATTAGAAGTTTTTTAAATAGACCTATTAGCCCTACAGTATTTTTAAATAGACCATGCAGATTTATATGCATTCTTGTTACACTTCTGTATATGATGATACATAGAATTTCTGCCATCTCTGTCTCTTTTAGTGTACTAACACAAGATTGGAGGCAGTCTAGTGGATTGTGTTTTAAGGCAACTGCTGGCTTCTTCTTCACTGGGTATCACCCTAAAAACACACTATGATAAAAATATTGAAATGGTAGAAATAGTAGAAATCTTTGGTAGAAATGGTAGAAATCTTTTGTTCCAATCTTCTCCCAAGAATTTATGCAGATAGTCATTATCACTCCATTATAGTGCAGGCTCTAGAATGCCACTGAGGTCGGAACAGTAGCCCACTGCCAAAAAGATGGCTGCCAAGAAGAGAGTGAGGAAACCATTGTAAGAGACAAGCCAAGTGACATCTGTTGACATCTTATTCTGTGCCTAGCACCTTAATCTCTGCCAAACAGTTCTTATTTCTTGAATTTTCTATTATGATAATAGTTAAATCTATTCATAGTGAGATGCTGGTGTTTTTAAATGGGGAAACTTTCTACTTTGAGTAGATTATTTTGGTAGGATTCTGACCTAGTAACAGAACAAATTAAGTTGGTGGAAGCGGTGCTTATGATATGTTTTGATTCCCTATTTAATGACATTGCAGGTCCTGATAAGATACCTCTCAGGGAAGAATTTGAACAGATCATGCTGAAAGCTATGCAGGAATTTACTTCAAGGGAACAGTCCTTACAAATGAATGTGCCAAGCATCTCCTTGTCACCAGCTCAACTTCCATGGCTTGCCAAGTTAATTGCTAGTGTTTCCCAAGACATGGTACATGTGGTGGTTACTCAGAATTCCTTGGCTGAAGGCATTTCTGAAACACTGCAGTCACTGACTGAAATGAAGCACCAACAGAGGGTGCCAGATTATGTGGTTGCTATCTGCACCTCGAAGATCAGAGGAAGTGAGTTCTGTGTGGTAGTTTTAGGTAGGTATTTTTTATACAATATCTTCACTACATTTTTGCTGAAATGTAATACAAATATTTGGTGTCTCAGCATGCTTTAAACATACAGTTTCTGTGTTATTGTTGGATCCCAGTCAGAGAGATAAATAGAAGGCTTACTGAAATCTACTTTTAAATAACCTGCTTATAAACCAACTCCAAACAAAAACCATAAACAGACAATATTAAATAATCAGAAGACAACATACAATATTCTGTATCCTGGCATGCAGGTTATACCATTAACTTTAACCATCAAAAACCTTCCACATAAGTTAGTCTTGACTATCTTAGAAATGTAAAATGGGTACATACAGATTTCTAGAAACATGTTTCTCCGTCCCCCCGTCCCCCCATTCATTGGGGGTAGGAAGAACATTGGTACCTTTTGAGAATGGAGGGAGTAAATGATTTCTCCAGCCCATTCAGCCATTTGTGTGCCAGCTGATTTCATATCCAGAATGGTAGTCTGTAGTTGTGGTCAAAGTGCCCCCTCTCCTGCAGTAATGTATGCTCAATTTCTATGGTAAGAAATAGAACCAAAGAACACAACACATGCGCACGCACACACACACACACACACACAAGTGAGCAAGATTTCATTTTAATTTGAAAATAATATACCAGATGTTAACCCCTCAGGCAAGATAATCTGATGTCTGGTGTGGAGGAAAGTAGATTTCACTGTAACTTGCACAATATACTAATCTACTGGATGGAGAAGAACTTGCTTGCAGAATAGTCTGTGTTAAAAATTTTCTACTGTAAGCTGTTGCTAGTTTTGGTGCTTGCTTTACATACATTCAGACTTTGTCAAATGGCATTAAATGCAGCTAAAGAGCTGCGAGAGTTTTTGTACCATTTCTGTGCGTTTGGAGTTTTTTTGTTTAGATATTTTTTATTCCACCATTATTATTTTTTAAAAATAATTCAAAATAAATCAAGATGGAAAATATACCTAATGCTCCTTCCTATTTTCCCAGAACAACAAAGCTGTGAGGTGAATTGAGCTGAGAAACAGTGACTGGGTCCGAAGACTCCCAGCTGGCTTTCATACTTAAGATAGGAGGAGAGTTCACAATCTCCTGATTTCTAATCTGGTTCCTTAACCACTAGACCAAACTGGCTATTATTAATATAGGTTAGAAAACAAATATGGTGACAGAAAGGGACAGATTTGTATGTTTCAATCACTGTTTTGCAGATTTAGAGTGTTAAATGGTTTAACAATCTTACCGTAGTTTATTCAAAAATACCAGTGTGTGGTTAATTTATTTGATTTAGACCAGGGATATTCAAGTCCTGCTCAATCCCTGAGCCAACTGGATGACCTTGGACCAGTAATATTGTGTCATCCTACCTCAAGATGTATTTTGGGGAGGATAAAATTAGGGGCAGGCTTCTAATTTATGCCTCCTTGAAATCTCGGATAATGTAATAGTTAAATAAAACTTGTTTCTATGTGAATGTATTAGGATTTTAAATATTAACACCACACATGAATACTTATAGGAGTTGTAATTTAATTCAATCAGATATATGGCCTAGAGATGTGGGGAATTAATAATCTACAAACCAATTTTTTATTTTAATGATAGATTAGAATGCAAAAAGCATTTGCTGGTGGAATGAGATCTGGGGTAGTTGGGACTGAAGGTGGAGTTTCCATCAATAAATCCTTTTCGTTAATGTTATGTTTTCTCTTTTAGAAGGTGAGCTACTGATAGGTTTCCGGAATAGTAGTTTTAAAAAAGCATTGTTATATAATGAGAGGTTAGAAAAAGTTTACAAGCTTATATACCCAGAAGTTTTAGATTTTCAATATGGTTGGGTAAATAAAAAATGTACAGGAGTCTTCCTTACATAAAGCTAAAGTTGGCTTTTCTGGGAAGTATTAAAAGAAACACTGGAAGCAGTGGTGGGATTCAAATTTTTTTACTACCGGTTCTGTGGGCATGGCTTGGTGGGCATGGTAGGGGAAGGATAAAATCTCCATTCCCTCCCAACTCCTGGGGGAAGTTTACTGCAAAATCCCATTCCCTCTCCACCCCACTATCCTGCTTTCCAGCTCCATTTTTCTGTGCAGGGCAACAAAAGAAGACACAGCCAATCAGCTGGGGGGACTCAGGAGGCAGAGAATAGATGGGGGCGGGGCCAGTCAGAGGTGGCATTTGCCAGTTCTCCGAACTACTCAAAATTTCTGCTACCTGTTCTCCAGAACTGGTCAGAACCTGCTGAATACCGCCTCTGACAGGAAGGTTTGGGGAGTATTAAAAGAAACACAGGAAGGTAAAAATCACACAAGCAAAGTATTATTTTTTTCTTGTCTCACCCCACCCTCTCACTTTTTCCATAGGTCAATACCAGTCCAGAGCTCTGGCAGAGAGCATGCTTACCACCAGTGAGTTTTTAAAGGAGATTAGTTATGAGCTCATTACAGGAAAAGTTGGTTTTCTGGCATCACATTTCAAAAACACATCTTTAGGTGAGTGAATCTTACAGTCTGCCATTAATGATGTGGCCATTTTTACAAATAAAAAAAAAATCATCTCAGAAATGAACAATTTAATGCTGATTATCGCAGGCTGTCATTTTAAAAGATTATGGTCATCTTGATCCATAAAATTGGTTCAGAAAGCTTTCAGATTTTATGAAGGATGTGTAAAAATAAAGAAAAAGAGATAATAGGAAGAAAATAATTTTACTTTCCTCAGTTCTTAAAGCATCATATTTCCTCTTAATGTTATCTTAAGCTGTAAGAGCTCCTCCTCCTGTTTAATACAAATGAATCATTTGGTATACATGTTATTAATTTAATTATCTCTTCTACCAAGCTAGAAGCTTCTGTATTTTGCCTAGGCAGGAGAGGAAAAATTGGAAGGCAATACGTTTTGTGTGTTCTTTTCAAACAATGCTGGTAATCAATATTATTTTCAATCCTTTGATTCTAAAGTCTAATGCATTCAGTCTGCAGTATTCTCTTGAAAATTGACTAGGGCAGGAGGCTCCTAGAGTCACCCGATCATTTCCATGGTAATAAAAACAAAACATTGCTTCAACATTGACTGAGTGAAACGTCACATCACAAATGATATTCTTGCCTTAAAGTTGCAGGTCTTTTAACTGAAACACCTGGCTTTAAAGTGCTGACACAACCCTCCTGAGCAAATCCACTCTGACCCTTCTCCACATCCACAGATTCATACCTTGAAGGAATGAAACAGCCAAGAATAAAAGGCTCTGGGTCCTCGCGTTTAAAGTAATACATGACTTCACACCATTTCTTACAAAATGTTTAATGAGACGGATAAATATTTATACTATGAGTGACTTTTCTACCAGGTGACGAGTTGGACAAGTTATTAGAGATGATGCAACAGAGACGGGGAGATAATGTTGTCATTCCATTCAGCGGAGATGTTAACGAGTGTGTATCATCTCAAGAAGCAGCCAGCATGGTTTCCACTCAAGTCCTGGGTAAGGATTATCTCATAAGAAATAATTTATGTCAAACATTAGTCTGTACGTAGGAACTAGATAATTTTGCTTCACCTGCTGAAGCAGTGAAACCACAGAAAAGTTGGAAACCAGATGCGGAGATCATGGAACTACTGCTGGTGTTCTCGTCAAGTTTGGAAGGAGATCATATGGTGATGAATGCAAACGTGGAAAGGAATATCTGTTTGTATGCATTTTGGATGTCAATATTGACATATTTTTCTCCAGTTACAATGGATTTTTTCCTAAAATTATAGCATGATATTTAACCTATTGGCAAATGGTGTAGGTGACAGCTTTAAATTTGCATTAAATAATGATTTTGACTTTACGGAATTTATTTCTACAGAAGTGGTCTATGGCAAGGGTGTCAAACTCGCGTTGTCACAGCGTTGTTACATGATGTATCGGGACTTCTTTACCCTTTGCTAAACCAGGTGGGGGCAGGGCCAGCACGTGATGCATCCAGCCCACGGGCTGTGAGTTTGACACTCTAGTAATTTAACTAAAAGAACATGCTAAAAGTAAATAATATGTCACAAATATTTATTATGTATCATAATAACTATTATATCAGTCTATCTGTAGCATACATGTTATTTTCATATATGTATGTATGTATGTATGTATGTATGTATGTATGTATGGCATTCAGCTTTGTTCGGGTATTTTCCCACGTCATTGTAGTTGTGCTTTTAAAGTTGTAGCA